ATTTTCATTTAATATGATTTTCGTTTATTTTATTATTTTTCAAGTTTATTTATATTGAATTATGAATAGTTAAATGATAAAGATAGTTAAAACTGCTGGAATGTCTACATGAAGAAGAAAAAGAAAAACAAATTGTCTGACGTTATTTACTTTTGTTTTGAGAAGCTGCAAAACTATAGGACTATCCTTGTATCACTTGATGAAGAAGGGAATTGAGGAATCTGTGAACTGTGACAATCGATGACAGCTGAAGGCTCAAATAATTTACGCTGCTTCATTACTAGTTTGAACATTTTTTGTTTTATTAAATTGGAATATAAGCAAGATTCAACTGACTAATGAACGTACATTGGATTTGGACATATGCGATTTTTCTGGAACAACTGAATTAATGTGATTTCGTTACCTAAGATATAAAATAAAAAAATGTTGGGGCTTCACTTTCTTTATAATTTCCGTCTTATCTATTGAGCTAATCGATAATTCATAGGTCAATTTGCATAAATTCATTAAAGAATGAATGTGAAATTATCAACAGCGAACAATTCATTTCTTAACTATCTTATATAATTTCATTGAAGCGATGTAGAAACTAATATAACGGTTTCTTGCAAGAAAAACTCGAGCAGATGCATGTTTAAGCTCGCTTGATTACGCCAGTGAGTCTTAAAATATTGCATTTAATCAAATAGAGCAGAGAAATGCAATATCCCCTAAGAAGCGATCACGTGATTTTTCGAAGAGTTCTCATCACAATAATCAAATAAAGAAAAGAAAGGAAACTAAATTATATTTCTCTCTTCCTTTTATAAGATGCCGAACAACTGTTGAAATGAATATACTGTTAAAAAGTCGTAATATAATCTGTTCATTTGCTTAGAACAATAAACATTTCTGAAGCAAATATAGAATAATCTCTCCTTTTTCATAGGTTAATAAACCCTTAAAGATGAGACATACTCTTACTTGAAGAGCCCTTTGACTAATGCATCTTAGAAAGATGTATGACATCGGCATAGAACTTTCAAAGATTTATGAAAAATTTTTTAAGGTTCAACAATTAAATATTTTGCAGTTTTTTACAGTGTATCACAAGGTTTCTTTTCGTGATATAGTGAATTTTTATAGTATCTATGACTTTAAATATTGATTAATCAGTTATAGTTCAACGAAATCTAGAAAAAGCTGAACGATATTCTCTGAAATGTTGGCTGCTATGAAATAATGAGTTAGTTTGACGTAATCATAAGATTAATTATTTAATATAGCACATTGTGATAACAAATTGAGTAAAACCTACAGTAAAATTTAATCCAATGTGAAAATAATGAAAGGGGACTTTGCCGATACTGCACGAATAGTTTATTTGATATTTATATCTCAACTTTGATATTCATATCCACTATTCGACTTAAACAGAGCGACTTTAAAAATTTTTCTCAAATGTATCATTCTATTTATAATTACAAAAAAAAATGATGCTTTTACAAAGTATTATCTAAATTGATTGATGAATCAGTTAATACTGTTGTCAAAAGTGAATGAAAACAGTCAGAAAACATACATATATAAATGGTCTAATTAAGGGTGGGTAGTAGGATAGGTGGGAGTTCTTTGTTCACTTTTATTGACTCTTCCACCAGACCAACTTGACAAATCTTGAAATTCTAAGGAAATTATTTAACAAACGGTATTAGTACCATTTTTGAGAATTAGTTAAGTTTACGAATTTATTTTAATGTAGTAGCACAAAGAGAAAAGTTTATTTTCCATAGCAAATAGCACCAAAATATATTATCATTTAAAATAAACTCATAATCATGCATGTAAAAAAATTAGCCACAAAAATTAATTTGTAACAATCATGTCAATACAAGAAAGTATGTATTAATCTTTTATCGTTCAGATGTTAGTTGGCCGATTTTGTATCCGATTCATTATTCGGAGAATTTGTGTCCATTTCAATAATTTCAAAAGGACGCGCTCGAATGATCGTTTGGGTTTGTCTTGATTTTGTATAACCTATTGAATGTAGTAATATTACGTGCAAAATCGTCAAGTGTAAGTAATCATGAAGCACAAAGGTGAGAATACTCATAGAGATTATGTTTTAGATTACTATTAACACGTTACAGGGATAGTATAAAACCCAATAAGAAAAATAGGTATCATTTGCTAAGCATAGAAAGAAATGTGTATTTATAATTATCCATTTTTGTTTCAATAACTTACGTTTTAGGAAAAAAAAAACTTCAATTTCTAACTTATTCAATAAAAATGAAGTTAACTTCTCGAAATCGTTTAAAAGAAGAATGAAATTATATTAATCGAAACTCATACTTAAAACTTATTTATTCGATAGAAAAATGGACTCAATATAGCTTCAAAACTAACGGCCGATGTTTTTTTTTATAAAAAAATATTTATTTAGAATGTTTGAGTGAATAAAGTGGAAAATCTGGATGAGATTCTAAAGTTTTTCCTAGGAATTTTTGAAAAAGTTCGTATGCGTACACTTTATTCAAAACTAATAGAAATTATCTAAGATGAAAAGGTGGCCCTCAACTGGACATAACGTATTTAAAAAAAGTTCACTAAATCAGCTTGTCATAAAAGTAAAATCAAACTATTGAAGTATTCTAAACATTTTCTTCCGACTCTATCAAAAGAATCTGATAAATTTTGTATTGTATGGAAAATAGATTAGACTAGTAGAATAATTTAAAATGCGTACATATTTCATTGATTGATTGCTTACAAACAGCTGCTTCTTTCTGTGAAATGGCAGAAGGAATTGGTTTTAAAAGTGAAAATGGTGGCCGTGTTTCTTTGAGATGAATTATATGAAGCTCCAAAGCATGATCAAAACAAGCGACAACTTCGAATTGAGTTGCAGGCAGAAGAAGTATTTCATCTTCTGTTGAATAATAAGAATGTGCTCGAATATCTTTTCCTGAATTACATTCGATGCAGAATATTGTTCTTGAACCCGTTTTGCCAAAAATCTGTTCGGCTTCTAAAAACTTGATTGAGGTAGTACATGATGAGAAGCCCCACCATACCACTTTTTGTCCTTTATTATAGTGTCGGTGCAAATCCAATTTGACCCCTCGATAAACGATATGATGTGGATTGGGCGGAAGGCGAACGAATGCAGTTAGAAAGAGTTTGAGAAAGAGAAACCATGGCTTGAGATGTTGTCTATCTGGTGAGCGTAGAGCTGCATTCAAGGCGACATATAGACATTGATCGAGTGGTTCCCATCCCATTGAATAAAGCATGATAGCAGCTGATTCATCTTGTGTTAAACCATCAGCCGGTTCGCTACATCTCTGTTTGGCTAAAGAAGCATAGTTTTGGATATCTGGTACAAGAGAGATGAGCGGCGCAACAGCTTCTTCTAGAGAAACCAGTGGCATATTTTCATACCCATGGATGGGTGCTAGAAGTTTCAGTGGCTCGTTAGCAATATCAGTCAATCGTAAAATGCGATATTCAAATTCTTTTCCTTCACCACTTGTGGCCATCTTGGGAATGTAAGAATAATTTAAATAGTTGCTGAACAAATAAATATATCTGAAAAAGTGAACGAATAGTCCTTATTACTCATTCTTCTGTCCTTTATTCTATATTAAACCAGATAAGCTGAAGTTGCCCTTCCTTGAAAAGTCCGTGTCTGTGAAGTTCATCGAAATTAAGATAAACGCATGGAAGGATAGAATGTCGATGTTGATAACAAATTTTACTGTCACTCATGGTGACACACATTATTTACAGAGTTTTTGTAAAAGAACTTATCTATCAAAGATGAAATGGACGATTTATTAGTATTTCTTATTCAGAATGATCGACTGATCTTGATCATCAGAAATCAAAATAGCAAGTACAACTCATACATTATGAATTGATGAAAGAAATACTGTAACAAATTAATTTGAAATAACAATAAAAAGTTGTTTATCGACTGACGTTTGGACTACATACATGAATGTGTGTGTGTATGTGATCGAACTGTTGAGGATTACCCAGATCAATGAAATAAGTGTTTTTCTCATTCGATTCTACCTATTTCCAGTGTCAATATAAAACATTCTTCATTTTTGTTCGATGGCTGCAAGCGAAGTATTTTTATCAACAAATCTACTTACACACAACTTCCTACCCTTCCAGTATCAGAAAAAGAAAATGTGATGTAGAAACAAACCAAAGTTTTATTTTTTTGTTTTTATTTGCACTCTCTCTCTCACAACATGTGCATAGAAAGAAAAATTGACAGAATAGAATCAAAGAGATAAGTTTCAACGATAGACGCTTAAGTGAGAAAAGCAGAATGACGAAAATATATTTGCTTGTATGAGTCAAGATTTCAAAATAAATTAAGAATTCAACTGTTAGAAATATAATGAAATAAATTCATGATCACTCAAAGTATTCATTGAGTCTTCTTATCGATTACACAAATAAAAAATCACAAAACCAATACTGTAAACAATTAAGCGATAGAAATCTATTCAACAGACAAGACATAAGTCTTATGCTTTTTTCAACGTGGCTTTGCATGACTTAATATGTTTCCAGACTCCTATTTTCTCGAGCGAATAATAAAGCGAATTAAAACTGGTAATTGAACCATATAAGGATCCAATACAACGATCTTTGCAGCGAACAAATGGTGTTATTCAAATCAATGACGATAAACACTGTGCAATGATCACATCAATACTTTCTGGTTGAAGAATGAATCGAATTTTTATCGCTTAAAGTTTTCCTCGATTTCTTCTTCAGGATATATTGAGAATTGTCGAAGTGCTCATATGCTCTAGACATAGTTTGATTTTCATCAAAATAAATCGTTTCTCAGCACTATGCTGTTGATCGATACTAAAAGGATTTAAGTAATACGGCTCTTTGATATAGAATGCCATTCAGTTTAAAATATATTTGGATGTTCTAGAATGCATAAGATGCAGATCATAGTTAATAGTGAATATATATGATTGCAACTAGCCGTAGTCCTATTGCATATTTTTTATGCGAATCGAGTCGCATCAGGAAATATTACTGATGTTTCATGTACAAATCAGTAGAAATAGGTTATGCTATGAGCTATATGAATGTGGTCGAGTGATAAGGGGAACATGAATGGTTGAGTGATTAGTCAGAAGACGCACAGTCACAGATCACGCCTATCCTCTTCCAATTTCATCTAGGTTCGTCTCAACGACATGTCGAATGGTAACTATGCATTGAAAAAAAAATTAGACTATTTTTTTATTATTTTAGATTTATCATAACAATGGACTTAATGGTAAGTATTGTTTTATAAAACTAGATTATGGTTTTTTAAATGAAATAAATTATTTTTGCTGTATTTATAGATAATGAGAAGGGGAAAAAGCTAGTAATAAAGACAATATCACTATTTTCTTCATGGAAAAGGGTTTCTGTGAATATGATGATAAATGAAGCCATATACGACACTATACGATCATTCATCATAGTCATATATGCATTGTATACAATACGACATGCAACATGATCCTATTTCTGGAGACAAATATATGACGAAACACGACTGTTGATTACAATCATAATGTTCGTCCTAGCTTGAAAGAAATTTTACATGCTTACATTTTGTAAACTTTTTTTTCTGAAGAAGGACAATATTATCGTCTGAAACATTAAGTAAAAAGACTAAATAACAATTAATTAAGCATCAAGAACCTTTTCTAGATTTCAAAAACCTTCCTTAACCGAAAGCACTAATTTGTGAAGTAACTTTTAATGTAACTTGTTAAGAATTCAGAAACTTCCTTGACTTTTCAGAAGGTATGGTAAATTCACTTAGAATATTCTCTTGTTAGATCACATCCTAATTCAAACTCTCCGTTGTTCTATGTCATTGTAGATTAATTTCAAATTATAGACATAAATATTTCTCTGTGTTTCTTTTCCGTATTGATTTATTTATGTATTTTATATGAACTGTCTCTTATATGATGAACTTGATGTTATACTTTTTTTCCCTTTTGTTCTTCTCATCATTATTTGCTTTTTAGTCTTCTCGATTTCTTCTGTATTCTATATACATTTAGAAGTATGTCTTAATTGAATGGAAAAGATTATTAATAATAATAGTACTCTCTCGCCGACATCTCAATTGTTCCTTTCTTTGTCTTTCTATTGTAGCTCATCTCTGTTTTGTCTTTTCTGTATAAAATTATGATGTATATGAGATATTAACATCTTGCAAACGTAAAGTAACTTAATAAATACCATTATCGAATGAAACAGTAAAGCTATTCTTCCATTTTATCGGTACACACAGTTTTCAGTGAATTTCGTTTGGCCTTGCACATTTTTTTTTCTGATTGCAATTCATTCACAACAGACGCAATGAGAACATACATTTTAAATAGAATAGTCAAGTATGACAACAAAGAATTTTGTGCTCGAAGAAAAAGTACATCGTTTGACGAAGGACAGTCAACAATAACGTCAGGAATCGTTCAAGTAACTGTCACTATTTGCAACTCTGTTTCAACATCAAATGATTCTTCTATCACAATAACGTATTTCTGTGATAAAATTTCTCTTGGTAACGAATGTTTTATTAGTAGATTAGGAAAGTATGGAAGAGGTGAGACTTAATCTTTCTCAACTGATCTACTAAACACTAGGTATAGATGCGGTTGCAAGTCTTTTCTTCATCCACCCTCACACTCTGTTTTCTGTTCTAGCGGTGTTTTCTAAAAATTCGTTTCCATTCTTATCAGATGAATAGCTTGACCCATACGAGAAAATCTCTCATGCATTCGTTACGGTGATTATCTAACTAAAATGTTTTTTTTTCTTAGGGACATCTACCCAGGATGGTCAATATAGTCATCAAGACAAGCTAAAAATAATACTATATACTGTTGTTTCATAGAGACTCTAATCGTAAATAGCTATAAATTGATGTTTGATAGGCGCAGTATGATGATCGTATTTTATCGTGTTGTGCACACTATGACAACGGCCGTCAAACACTCTAAAAATCGAGTATCCGATCATTAACAGTACGGTGAAATACCGTCGTAGTGCTGCATCTGACAAACAGCAAAAAACGATCTTGTATACACTTCGTATTCTATTGATAGCGAAACGAATGAAAGAAAATTCCAAATAAGAAAAGTTATCTAATGGCATGGTCTGATTCGTCCCATTATCAATAGATTAAGAAGTATATCAAATATTTTTGCATTCATTTTATCTTACATATTTAATAAATTCAATTGATGGTTAGATATTTACTGAAAAATCAAGTAATGGAATTTCGACTTGAAATTCAGTCCATGTATAGATTAAATATCTCTTAAAATATCTTGAAAGCTTCTGTTGAAGAGAATTTTCCTTTGTCATTAAGATATTGAATTTCCAACAAATACTTGCTTGTCACTGACATATTACAAAAAAAACGAATTTACTTGAAAATTCAATATTTCGACCAAGGAACATCTCTTCAGTTGAAACTTTCAGAACATTGTAAAAGGCTCTAGATCTGTCTACGAAAAGAATTTCAGATTAAAATTATATCATTTGATTTTTCAGCGAATACCTAAAAATGGCCATAATTCAACTTCAAAGGTTTATAGAGAGGAATCATGTTTAGACTTTTTTTCTAATCTTACTAAGATCTCTTTCTGATTTCAATATGAGTTCAAATGTAGCGGGTTACAGTTTTGATAGTTCCCTCGTCAGTGATGAAACAGAAGATAATTGTACCACACGCTTTCAAAGAATCTTTTTGATCTTTACTAGAGAGTTATTATACTATACTCAAAACATTTCAAAAGGCAGCGTATGACTGCTGAAAGCAGTTCATCTGATGCTGTACAAAGAGTATATAAACTACTTTGATAACCAGAACATGGATGTGTACATTAATGCACTTTCACAGTGCTTTTTTTAACGTTCAAGAAAAACGTAATCCTTTCAATATACCTTATATGACAGAATCTGTATCTGTTCAGCTGCCATTTGTCTATGCTTATCAAGTCTCGCAGTAAACCATCCCTTCCAATCGAATTCGTTCAATCGAGTAATTGTCAAGGAGATGATGAGGCTTTTTATAGACAAACATAAACGAGAGCAGTTCGAGGCGTTTTTCAAGATCTTTTTATTGATGAAAGACATATGAATTAAGTATTAGTCATGTCTTATGAAGAAAGCACCGGAAATGATATCTCGCGTTCGAGATGAGACTCTTGTCATTACGTAGGACTTGTTGCGATCAGAAGAAGCCTAGAATGATACTCTCATGCATTACCATTTTTGAATTATGACTATTACACTAGATCTTTTATCTTTAGGTTACAATTTGCCCAAGGAACCAATCTTATTAAGAACTTTGCTCGTACAAAGTTTGAAGTCGAAAGTTGATTTTCTATGCGACTGAGGCAATCATAGGTTTTTGTAGAAAAACTGAGTAAAATTTTGATATCTCAAGAGTACATGTCTGAAAATTGAAATACTAGACGAAGAACATAATCAAAATGTCATCTTGGGATGAACCACCAATAATCTATTATCGTAATACTGTATGCCATTTCAGTGATTCGCAATTATTTGTGTTATATAAGAATACTGTCCTTTTGGATGTTTTAGTTTCAACCAGTGAACAGAATATCAAGACAATTACCTACCATTCCATCGAGAACTGTGTATGCGTTTTTTATTCTTTTAGTTTAAAAAAAATCCCAAGATATCTCATGTTTTAGAAATCCAACAATCGGAACACAGCTGTTATTAAAAATTATTCTTCCTTCTATCGTTGTTATTTCGATTATAGCTACTGTTACTATTATCGTGTGTGTTTTGTTGAAAATAAGTCAAAATACAACACAAGATCAAATTACCACAACAGGTCTATATACAACAACAGGTATAAGTCCGTTGACTAGACAAGAGTATGTAGACAATATTTTATGTGTTTGATAGAAAACCGAAGTTTATTTGTTGTCTGACAATAGAAAAGAGAATGTTGATAACGTTTATAGGTTATAATAGTAGACACTGAACCTTATTCACTGATATATGTTATAGTATTTGATAAAATACTTCGATTAGAGGTAGGATAAATGATAATGAGCTCATTTTTTTTTCATCGATCAGTTGTAATCCAAGTAAATCAAAAGTCACTTAAATTAGCTTTAGAATGCAAACTGTTATTATATTGATAGACAATTAAGCTAGCATCAGAGGCATCTAATACGCATATGATAACGAAAAAAAGTTAAATTAGAATATATATTTGATTTTTGCCATAAAGATAGGCATCTGACTCAAATTTAAATAGTGATTTTATTAGCCGACCGAGTTTTCTATATAATGCAATCTATTGCAAGATTTCTACAAAAAAAAATCAAAAATATGTTGTTATGCAACTTTTTTCTATCATTTGATATACATATATACTAGTGTGAGTACTTTTTTTCCCCAGAAAAACAATGCTGATCGATGCTATTCTGAAATAACTTCATTGTGTTTTTTGATGTAGTGAAAAATATTAAAATGACTTGTATCCCTATTTCGATTTGTTTTATCCCTTTTTTTTTTCAAAGAACCAAATCAAACGCTTGTACTTCGGCGCCGTTCAATAGAAGTTGTTGGTGCTCCATCTGCTATGGTTTATGTTGATTCTCATCAAATGGCAGGTAGCCATGGCAATGTAACTAGCGTTTCATTTTATGCTGATCATACATGTGCTTTGAATTTTGTTGAATTTGCTGCGTTTGATCTTATCCATCGAGATGTAGACTTGAATACTGCTGAATTGATTGTTACTCATCGATCAGGTCCATTACAATTGGGTACTCCAAATGAATTAAAATCTTATATGACATTAATTACAATACAATTATGTTCTGAAAAATTGATGCAAAATATTAATAGTGGAGTATGTCAAGGTAATCAATTTCCTGTTCTTCCTCATCATTACATAGGTGTACGTTCTGATAAATGTCGACTCGGATTCGTTCAACCATCACTCAATCTTGTTTTTGGTACAACATGGGTAAGTAAGGTTTTTCTTTTTCTCTCTCAATTTGTCTAATAACGAAAGCAAAAACTGATGAGTTGACTGATTCTTTTCAAAATTGATTTATCATACACTTGTTATATTAATTTGTAAAAGAATCTTTCGATGTACTTGTTCTTTTGTGTTCCAACTTTTAATAGTTTCAATAGGATATTATCTTCGACTTTAAAATTAAATTATTTTGGTTTTTAATTATTAGACACAGTCAGATCGATCAGATCCATTTAATGAACCATATCAAATACTAAATTATGTACCAGCTAATTATACAATTCTTCAATCCATAACTATTGATTCATTTGAAAAGAATAATATTCAACGAACAGATCCAAAAGATATTAGATCAACACAACTTCGTGTACTTTTTATTGGTACTTACCCACCACGCCAATGTGGTTTAGCAAAATATCTCGAAGATTTAATTGATAATTATAAAGGTTCTTATAGTATTGTAGCTATTGATGAAAAAGATTTGAAATCAACTGATCGAAATTATTCAAATAATGTTGTCTTTCGTTTGAAACAAAATGATCGAGAAATTTATTATAAAGTTGCTGAAATGGCCAATTCTCAAGGGTATGATGTAGTCAATATACAACATGAATATGGTTTATATGGTGGTATGTGTGGTGAATACATTGTACATCTATTAGCTAGTGTAAGAAAACCGATCATAATCACTATGCATACGTAAGTTGTATGATGAATTTATTTATTGAACATAAATTTATTTTTCAACCATATTTTAGAGTTCTACCAAAGCCAACTGAATTTTATTTAAGTTTAACACGTACAATTGCTGCTTTATCAACACGAATTATTGTACTTTCACCTGTTGGTCGTCGACTTCTTGTTGATTTGTATGGAGTAGATGAGACAAAAATATCTATTGTTCATCATGGTGTACCTGATGTTCCTTTTAGTCAAACATTAACTGAAGAAAAACAAAGATTAGGATTTGATGCAAAACGTCCAATAATGGCTACATTTGGTTTAATACATCGAGATAAAAATATTCAATTAGTTTTAAAAGCAATGAAAAATATTATTGAATATGTTCCAAATATTCTCTATTTAGTTCTTGGTCAAACTCATCCATTAATTAAATTACATGAAGGTGATAGTTATCGTCATGAACTTGAAAATAATGTTACTACATTAAGTTTAGTTAATAATGTATATTTTGTCAATAAATATTTAGATGATAAAGAACTTATTTCATATTTATCAGCATCTGATATTTATATAACTCCTTATATTCATGAAGAACAATATGTTAGTGGAACACTTGCTTGGGCTGTAGGATTAGGAAAAGCTGTTGTATCAACACCTTATTTATATGCTAAAGAATTATTAGCTCATGGACGTGGTTTTCTTATTCCGTTCAATGGTCATCAAGCTCTATCATCAACTATCATTACATTGGTTCAAAATCAAGAAATTCGTGATGCAGCTCGTCGTAAAGCTTACAAGTTTGGACGTCAAATGATTTGGCCAAGTGTGACTTGTGACTATGAAAATATCTTTCGTGATGCTCTTCTGTATTTTTGAGTATTTATCCAATTCATTTAAATGTGAATATTTATTTACCATTTCAAAAGATGAAACAATCACAATTTTTATGCATTTCAACAAAACGCATACATGTTTCTTAGTATTTGTTCTACTCTTTATTCAATGTTTCTTTATGCATTTGTTGACACTTATTTATTTTATAGTTTTCTTCTGTTTTTACTTTCGATTAAATGCTTGTTAATCACATACACTACTGACATGCAATCCTATACTGACCAGTGACTAATATGGAAATGTGTTTTGAATTAACATAATCGATAATGAAAGAAAAAAGAGTGAAGAATTGACGAAAGGAGAGTGTTTATTAGAGTCCATCGGATTGGATCCGAACTCAACAATTGCTATTCTAAAAGTAACAATTAATTATGACTAAATTCTTATACGATAATCATCAAGATGACCTAACAGACATGTAGAGTGCGCTGGTTGCTGAATCTAACTAAACAGAAAAAAAAGAACGTACCTCCTATTTTCAGAGCGGCTATAAAGAGAAGTTGAAAAATTTAATTGAGAATATGATGACTACGAATCGGGCCCTGATCTGAAACAAATTAATGATCCTGATGTGAATATAGGTACCAGTCTAAAAATTTTGAATTCGACGAGCTCTAGCATCTAGGAAATATTCGATCCAATAAACTGATAGAATAGTGTTGGTTTGCATTAACAGAAAGGCTTCTGCACATGTAGACATCTTTTCTATGATATAACAATATGAATGTTCATGTCGAAATCATATTTTAAAATTGATCTCGACCAGAACTTTTATCTCATCACTACATGATACTCACATCCAACAAACATTATATGAAGGAGCGAGAGAGAACAAATGAGCCAAGGATGGCTGGTGAACAATTTGCGAACACAGATTTTTATATGTACTGACAAAAAAAAGAAAAAAGAAGAAGAACATGCACGTGTTCTTTTCTGTTGCACAGACACTCACACTCTCATTTTCAATCGACTTAAGAAAAAATTTCGAACTGCAATAACCTATCACAAATATTCATCTATATTCTTAACACTTTTCTTTTTTGTCTCATGACTGGATTTTGCAGATCTAATAAGTTCTATCGAATCAAACACCCGTTTAGATCATTACTATTTTCATTTCTTTCGTGATCAAGATAGCCAAAAAAAGCACTTTGCTTTACAGATGTATACAAGAAAAAATTACAATGTAAAAATTCTAAATAAGAGCTAAGCACTCTCTCATTCACAAAATACAGCGACAATTCCATTGACAATTAACTTTCCAACCAAGATTTGAACATGCACGGTTTACCCAATGGTTACAATTATTACTAGATGAATACTTTAAGTCAGTATGTGTCGCTTCGCAACATGCCTCATAAACTTCTGAAAGTTTATACCGACCCAAACTAATACATTGTTGACCATAGATGTGTTGTGTTGCATAATGAGCAAAAGTGCTTTCATCATTGATTATTGTCCATTCGAAACATACTTTTTTGCCAGGATAACATCCATCCATAACAAGACAATGACGTGCGCCAAGACCAAGCACTGAACCAATTCGTATGGACCAAATTTTTAATTCACCTTCTTCATCATTTTGTCCTTCATACCACGAAGGATTTGTGAAACGAGTGTTCGCTGCAATATGACTAGGTGAACTACCCATGTGTATTTGTTAAAAAAAAAAAGAAGAATGAATTGCAAATTTCGATAAATCAAGAATATATGCTTCGAGATGTGATATGTATTAATCAATTTATTTACTCATATGAAAATGTACAATAATACTTACTACTAGGAAATTATTTGCATTTTATTTTCTAAAATTACGTCATCGTCTTACTGTTGTTACATCTACTTGCTTTTTTCCTCTTACTCATGATGAAAAGAACGAATTTTTTTCATTCCACGTCGTCGTGCTCTCATTACAGAATGGCAAAATAAATGTCTCTTTTCGCTATGCACATATTTAGTAGTCGACCGACGAGAAATAGTTACTTCAGAAGTTAACAATTCGGTTTGACTGTTCGGTGTAACTGATAGAAGCAAAGATCAAGTCATAAATACATATGATAATATAACACGTATACTAGCTGATAGTTATAAGCATCGAAAGTATGATGCAATATGGTTGTAAATCTTCTCTTAGTCATAACTTACAGCTACACCTACGTGCATGTATTTCAAGATGTTGACAACAGTTTATGTGTCGGTACTGCTCGTCAACTTAAGATACGACAACTTGATAAAATATCTTCTCTTCATTGAATAAGATTAAATGTTGAGAAAAAAAATCAAATTTTTTCTTTCTTGTATCATGATTTTCATTTTAACTTACAAATGTTCGAAAAAGGATATCTCTTTATTCGTTACATGGTCTAATTATTTCAATCAATTTGATCAGTAGAAGAAAGAAAAAAGACTTAGTTGCTAAAAAACGAAAGGAAATGCTACGATATATTATATTGATGCTGTTCAGTCTAATTTTTGTTCAAAAGTATTTGTCTTTGAAAGTCACATCTACATCTTAATTCATCAATATGTTCTTCTTATTTGTGAAGATTGAAATGGAAACAATGCGTTCTTTAGTTACTCTTCAACAAAATAAAAGAATGTTCTTTCATTGCATGAATCATTCACGAACTACAAGTAAAATTTAACAGACAGACATGCATTTCTCATCATGCTTTTTCATTGGTTTACATCTACGTAGCTGCTGTCAATTTCACAAAAAAAAATTCGATCAGCAACTAAAGAATGAAACATTTCAATGGCTATTATTAGTTGCTTTATTACAACTCACAAAAAAAAACATCATAAGATGAATAATCAGGTGAAACGAAGTTGAATCAGCAAATTTTTCCGACACCATTTTGTACTGTGCTGATGATTAATGATTTTTAATAGGTAGTATACGAGGGTGGGTGTGGGTGTGAGCGTGTGAAAGTGTGTAGGTCTGGGCCTCGCTATCGGTCTTGGTCTTCTATTTACTTTCACATCCACATTCTCAAATTGACAAAAACGTACATTTAACTTATAATAGTATTAATGTAGAGAAATAAAATTGTTAGAAAAGAATACTTTTAATCGCTCTAGATATACAAATGTAGTCATGAAAAAAAAACTGTCCTTTCAAAAGTAATCCTCTTTCTCGTATTTATTCATCGAATTTAACATAAGATTATGCTTAATTAGTATTTTCTATGATAAAATGAGTTAAACATAAGTGTTTTATCTCACATGAAAACCGAAAGGATGACACATCCTACTGAAAAATGATATTGATAATTTCAGAGGAGAACAATTAAATAAAACATTGAATAACAATAAAGCATTGAGTACAAACCATTCAAATTTATTACTTTTTATTTTTCAAATGATGTAAATCAAGGGTATAAGGTAAAAGTAAATTTATATTAGAACTATATAGTTCATTATGAATAATTTAATGAATTAAGAGAATAATCGCAGACAGAAGCTTTTATTTTACATGTTTTAAAAACAAAAAAGTTGCCAAGAAAAACAAATCTTCTAATAATTAATTTACAAATTAATATTTACACTTTCACTGGTGACGATAAATGCCGTTTATGACACATAAAAGAAAAGTTTTGATAGAAATGACACGTTTCACAGCTATTAAAACAGTCTGATAAGTTTCATATTTTTCCAACAATAAGCAAAACTTCACTTGTACCCATCTACGTAATCACTTTATACTTATTAGATGATTTATCTTTCGTTGAATAGTAAAACATTGTCAGATAGATCAATTTAATCATTTAACCGTGAACAAGTTTGCTCTATAGACTTATGGAAAAAATGTCTTTTGAGCACCAAAAAAAAAGACAATTGAGCACCTAATTAGTTATATGTGAAAAGAGCACCAAAAAATAAGACAAATGAGCACCAAATTAGTTAAGTGTGAAAAGAGCACCGAAAAATAAGACAAATGAGCACCAAATTTATTACATGTGAAATGAGCACCAAAAAATAAGACAATTGAGCACCAAATGAAAAAAAAGATATTAAAGAGATAAATCAATTCTATTTTAAAAGAATCAAAGTATTATTCGAATATATACAGATGCTAAGTTGTGACGAGCTCAACTCAAATTGTATAATCTCATTCCTTTTTGTAAATTATGGTACACAAATGAGTAACGCTGTATATATACGACAAGCTTGAAAATTATAATAATATACATTTCTGTGAAGAATCAAAAAATGTGACACAAAGAATATCAACTTTTGAATATCGTCTAAACGCTCGATAGAGCTAATCAAGGGTGTGGGTGTGGATATGGGTGCACGAGTAGATCCTCTCCTTACACTTACACCTACACCACACCCTTGATTAGCTCTATCGAGCGTTTAGACGATATTCAAAAGTTGATATTCTTTGTGTCACATTTTTTGATTCTTCACAGAAATGTATATTATTATAATTTTCAAGCTTGTCGTATATATACAGCGTTACTCATTTGTGTACCATAATTTACAAAAAGGAATGAGATTATACAATTTGAGTTGAGCTCGTCACAACTTAGCATCTGTATATATTCGAATAATACTTTGATTCTTTTAAAATAGAATTGATTTATCTCTTTAATATCTTTTTTTTCATTTGGTGCTCAATTGTCTTATTTTTTGGTGCTCATTTCACATGTAATAAATTTGGTGCTCATTTGTCTTATTTTTCGGTGCTCTTTTCACACTTAACTAATTTGGTGCTCATTTGTCTTATTTTTTGGTGCTCTTTTCACATATAACTAATTAGGTGCTCAATTGTCTTTTTTTTTGGTGCTCAAAAGACATGTCGTCCTAGACTTATGTCAGTGTAGATTCAGATAAGTTACATATATACGCTACATACAAAATTGTAAATAGCTTATCTCATCTTATTTGAACGAATAAAATTATTTTTCATTTCTTATTTTTATCTATTCAGAAATTGTTAGACATATATTGGAAAAAAAGGTATATAAACAGATTTGTTAGTTGGATTATAAGGTATGTAGAGGATGTTAGCATCCAATTCGAGTAAAATTTACACATATTCGTTTACAAGTCTGTTTAAATGAGAAAGATCCTAAACATAATGAAACTAATGTAATGCTTTTGATGTTTTTCAAATAATCAAGATCATGAGATGACAATGTTAGAAAAAAATGAAAGTAGTGATAATGATTTTTATATTTTCGATCTAATCAAGGTCATGAAATGAAAATGATGCAAAAATAATGAAAGTAATTGAATGATTTCGAATTTTTTTGAAATAATCATTTTCATGAAATTTTTTCTAATAAAAGTTCTAAACATAATCATTTAAATGGATTATTTTCTTTTCATTATTTCATGGACAAGACTAATTATCTTTATATAGCACATATAACAAATATGCGTATAAAAGTGTTATCAATATACTACTAACGACGATCGAATTAATGTAGTTATCTGTGCATCTGCTTATTTTGACAAACTTTACTTTTAGCTTTGCATTTGCTCTAATGTTGCATGTGTTGAATACGAACACACACAAAAATGAAGAAAGATATTCATGAACGATAAAAAAAATCAAATGATATTGATTGATGCACTATTTTATTGGTAATGTCATATCATTTTTTTTTTCATACGTCAATAGTGGATAAGACGACAAATAAATCAAGAACATATTTTGAATTTTTACAAAGAAATCAGTGTCCATAAATCAACTGAACAAAACAATAATTTGATTGACTATTCTCTGGTAAATTATTTTTTTTCTTAGACATTAATGTTTTTTCGCAGTAGATTTCTGGTCTAGTTAAAAGAACAAATTTCTTTAAAATGAAATAAACTATTTGAATTGTCTACCTTCATAGATGTTACGTGTTCAGCTGTGTACAGACATGTTATCTATCGCTCCGAAATTTGTGTTTTTTCAGCTAAAAAATGCTCGAAAAGAAACACTGGATGAATGTCGAATCAAATTTTGAATTCGTTTTAATACGAACTAAAGTAACAAGCTAATCTTGATTAGTGATTAATATTAGCTTAGTTACCATTCAAAACTTCTAGATCAATGTATAAATGTATGTTTCTTGAAACTGAAATAGAATGTTTCAATAACTATTTTATGGATTATTATCAAGACGTTCGGGTTTTACAGAAAAGCTTTTCCTCGTAGTAGTGCTATTCTAGACAAAATCACGGAAAAGCATACTCTTGATCAAAGTATTAGGTTTCAGTAGCAAGGGCATGCTTTTCTCATCTCGAAAATTTACAGCATGTCCATTTTGTTTCGTGTAAATATGTAAACTAACATCCACGAAATTGTGTGTTATTTTCCTTCATCATTAGTTTTTGACAATTTTCAGATCTTTTTTCTCAATTAGACTATAGTAAACACTTATGAATGATTCGATAATCAAGTGCATTCACAATTGCATGTTTCGGATAGCTTGTAAAATGATCAGCTAGAAAAAAAATGTTTTCTCTCTAACAACTGCCAACATTTCTTAAAGCAATAATTTTGTTTATTTTAGCATTGCTATTAGTTAAAAATTGTTTCTCTAGTTATGTATGCCATATCACTCAAAGACTCATTTAGTAAATAGCATTCTTCAACAGATTCAAATCACAGTACAAACTTGAAAAAGAGATCATCCCATAAAGAAAATGTCTCGCATTTAGTGGATGACTTGGTGCCATCTGGTGTTGGTTCACCATTTTTGTATGAATCTTTTTCTTCTTATTTCTATAATCACAAATAATGATTTTTTTCTTCCCTAGGATAAATTTCCTCTCGTTCAGAACATATATACCTTGTTCCTTCGTTGGTATCGTTACTTTTACAAGTCTCGCAATGTTCATTGGTATTCTCATAGTTTGTCTGACATCACCAAAAAAACCAAGTATACTCTGTCTCTTTCAGAGATGTTACTAAACTTCTAATCAAGAATGAGATCCATTTTTTTGTATGAAGTACTTTGAAACGTTCATAATTCGTTTATTGAAAAATGTATCTATGAAGAATATTAGGAAAAGCAAAAGGAGGAATATACTCAGTTTTCTCTGCTGTTATCTCTCTGTGACTGTCATTATCACTAAAGTTAAAACTTTTAAATTTAAAAAACTGATCCAAAAGGTTCACCTCCGTTATCAATCATGAATTCGTGATTCAGCTTTCGAATGAAGTTTCCATATACAATTCAGTCAAAAACAACAGTCGAGTCATAATTAGTTCTTGAGAAAGGAAATAATAGATATGTCGGATATACGCTGAAGATCTACAGAGATAAAGATATGGATCAATGTTCTAGCACTCTCAAAGATATCACAACTACGAGATGGTGGTGTCGTTTCCTCAAATTGAATAAAGCACAATTTTGTATAGAGAAAAATTACGAAAATTACTATTCATTTACAGAAGAAATAGATTGATACTCTAATTGCGGCTGCTTCATAATATTGCTGAAAAACTCGTTAGTCATTCCGACAGATTAATGGAAATGACATCTTTTGATCAACAATAAAGTTATAAACAAAATAAAGTCTTACTGCAGAATTTTTCAAAATTATTGTTTTCTCTGGCATTTCACCGGAGTGAAGTACATAGCCAACAGTTTTTTTTTCATTTCTTTGCATTTTGAAGTATTTCTATGACTCATTTGAAAATAATTAACTTCATTTTGTTTTCGTTACTTCTATCGATTTCGAAAAATAGCTTACTCGATCAATCTATGATAGAAAATAACTCATGAAATAATCTGATTCCAAGTTACAAATAATGGTTGATATATACATATATATGTTGGGTTTGAGGAGCATCTCGTTTATTGATATGATATTATTAATTGCATTATGAAAGCACGAGAGGAACTAGATTATCTAAGACTTTCATTGATCATTTTGATCAATACGTGTAACATTTAGTTCTTGCAAAGAACATCTTCAGACAAAAAGTGACCACAATAAAAAAAAAATAAAAAAGTTTGAGAAAATCTTAAAGAAAGAAAAAAACCAAATAGATAATTTTCTTCGTTCTTTTCATTTCAAATATTGCAATCAATGGGGTAGAAAATGATTTATTTGGATTAGAAATTTTGAAATAGAAAGAACGAAAGGAATTGTGTATTTTGTCTTCTTATTTCTTCAAGAAAATTTTCTCAAATTTTCTTGTGCTCATTTTGCGTCTGAAGATTCTTTTGTTAAGAACGAACCCTTATACTTATTGATTAGAATGATCAATAAAAATATTAGATAGTCTAGCTCCTCTTTTGTTTTCATTGTAAATTAGTCAACATAAGTCAAGAACAAATAAGTATGCAATTCGAATGTGAAGAATCAGAAAAAGAAACTTTAGATACGTATGCACAAAATTCTCTGGTTTAGATAAAGTGAAATGTTTGTTTCTTGTCTCCCTAGTTGGATATGACGAATTGCTATCTGTTATCTCTGCTCGTGACCTTTGTTTTCGATATTTTGCATCATTTCTATACAACTGAAACCATCATATATAGAGATATTCAGATCGATGATGAATTTGGAATGAAGATGATCATTAAGGGTGGGTGTGGGTATTTCTTTTCTTTTCACTTACACCCACACCCACACCCAAATTCATCATCCAGTGAACTCACTTCACTGAGTGAGCTAGCACTATCTTCAGTATCGATTTCTTCAAACGGCATGTGAAATGCTCCAAAAATTCGGTTGTATTTATATGCAAAACGATATAGAGAAAATAATAGGGGAGAAAATACTGGAAATTTCCTTCTTTTTCTCAGACATGATTCATATAATATACAAAAGAACGAAAAACTGACTTGAGCGATTATTCATTTGGTCAGTAAAAAATGACTCACTGTGTAGTGGTATAAGCAAGAGAACGACAAATAACCAGTAGAATATAGCCAAAAGGTCATTAAGTGCATTTATTAGAAGATGATTGTTCACGAAAATGAACAATCTGAAAAAAATTTTACGAAAACCGAATCGGGTCGAATGTGTTGAAGTGGGAATTTTCGATCTTATACAATCATTTTCAAACTAAATATCAAAACTATAGATGTTACAAACACAGTACAAAGACAAAAAATAATGGATGAGAATGTAGGTGTGCGTATCTTCTCATCACACCCACACCGATTATTTCGATAAAAGACCGATTGTTGAAAACCAAGAATTGGAATTAGTAAATTGAACGTGTCTTTTCTCGGTCAAGAAATAGGTCGGCCGCTTTTTCGAATTAACACGAAAGCATATTGCTCTCTCATCTTCTGTTCCTCCAATTGTTTTTGATTGATTTTAGCAACGAGCAATCGAATTGGTGACGTAAATAATCGATACTTTTACGACGAAACAAAGACGAACTAGGTTCGCTAAAATGAATACAAGTATGATCAGAATTATCGATCTCGCTTCATACAAAATTATTAAATAAAATGGCATCGTTCATGATTTCTAATTTTTTTTTTTGTCAACAGTAATCAAACTTGAGCATGTCTGTTTCTCTTGATTATCAAAATTATTTCATTTAACTGAAAAAAATTTTGTTTATCAAAGAAACCTTCCAAGTAGGGCAATCAGTTAAAAACTTATTTGATCCCTTATGAGTTTCAAATCTATTGTCAAACTAGTAAAATGAAGAGTATTTATTTATTTATGATTCTGAGCGAAGTAGGCGATATGATTGCCATAAAAGAGTGTTATTGTTGAAGGAAAATTAAAAGATAGAAAGATTCTAATGAAAATAACAATACTAAATCATTTAATCGCTATATTCTTCCTTCTTGAGTCCAGGAATGCGATCTTCGACGAGAGCTTTATGAAATATGCGATGATCACGACGAACTTGTTCTCCATAAGTCTTAAAAAAACAACAATCAAACAAATATTTTCTTTTCGTTTCTTATTGTCTAACTTACCATGCCAAAATTGACCATGTCTTCAATAAATTCCTTATCTTGTTTACCAATAGCATCACGTATTGCCGCGTCTGTATCGTGTGGAATGATAGAAGATGGAGGATCATAAGCATTTTTCAGTAGATTGATACAATCCGAATCAGCGACACAATGAATTTTGGCTACATTAAAAATAAAATGTGTTGAATAGTTACTTTGAGAAATTTGAGGAATAATAGTGTCACATTTCTTCCCATATCCAATTCTATCGTTATATACATCTCAGATATAAAGGTTAGTATAGGGCAGGCAATCGAATAGAAAAGATAGAAAGGCCAAAAAAACTAAGTTTATATGATAGAAAAACTTATAGAGGAAGTTCGTTTTCGGTCATAAGTCGTATAGATAGAGTGTAGGTCGTAAAGAAGTGAAGAATAAAGGTCACAAATAACTGTGATTAGAAAATTCACTTTCTACCTCACCTGTAACTCTACCCAAATACGTAACAACTTCGCGCACATCTTTGATATTATTGATTTTCGACCAACTAAGGCCTACTGAATGATTTGATACTTCATCAATAAGATAGGGTATGTTGTGTAGTGTCGTATAGCCCAGCCATTGGGGCGTCGATGCTTGCATGGCATACGAACAGAGCACTGTCCTTAAGCCTGGGTGTTCGAAATACTTTTCAAGTTCAGGATTTTTGACAACACTGCTCACAGCTGATGGTATTGCTTGTTTCATGGAGAGAACAACATCATTTTCTAATGCTTCTGTCAGCCCCTTGATAAGAGACAATAAGAAGATTATAAATTTCTTTCAACAAGAAGTCTTTATATCTCCACATACTTCAACGAGAATACTATAAGATGCTGCACCAGCAGAGCCAATACCTCTTGAAGGACATTGAACTATGTCTTTTATTTTGTATGAAATACTTCTACTACTTGGACTTCCTTTATTTTCCTTGGATTTTGGAATGGATTCACGATATGTTGTATTGAAAGCATTAGTTATATCTTTGTATAATTGAGAATTAACATCTTGATAGTCTTCACGGTTAAATTTACGCCCATAATCCTTGATTACTGTCATCTTTGCTAAATTATTGACATGAGATTGTATACGTGCTTCGTTCAATAATAGTTGAATTTTCCCTGTCGTATTTTCTGATGTAAATGCCAATTGATCTTTTGACGAATCACAAAATTTATAAACTTGTTTTACATATGCGTCTGCACATGTTGTCAATATTTTACTAATAATATCTTTAGAAAAACCTTTTGCATAAGCTACTAGATTGAGTGATGCTAAAAGTCGTTTAACATCCCATGTAAATGGACCAAAATAGCCTTCATCAAAATCATTGACATCAAAATTTAATATGCCATCTGAATTCATATAAGTACCAAAATTTTCTGCGTGTAAGTCGCCCTACAATTAGAGACAAATGAGTTTTTTCTTTAAACTGGTCACCGAAGGTTTTCAATTAAATCTCTTTAGTTCTTAGCAATTCTCTGGAAATTTTTGCGTTACAAAATGATGAGAGCGTGATCAAAAATTTTCGTGGAGAAGGAAAGTAACGTTGCAGCTGAAATATTCTCAAGAGTGTCACCAAAAAGACAAGTCATGTCAAAAACCATGATCGCTGTCGATTTCAGAATTACTGTTGAAGACAATTGTGTTTCCACGTCAAATGCGTACGAGTTTCATCTAATATAGTTGCAACTAGATTGCACCGGAATTCTGTCATCTTGATTTCACTAGCCACATCCGGTAAAACTCTTTAAGTTTCATTACATTTTGTACGGAAACTGTCAGAAATCTGGCAACGGGACTCTAGCGCAATCATCATCGAAATCGCTTAACTTTCATAGAACTCAGCCGAAATTCGATTTTCGTTCTCATTATAAAAGGTAATTTGTTTGATCAGAAGAAAAGTAAACATGAAAATTGTTTAGGAATTAAACAAGTTTGAAATTCAGAATTTTGAATGTTATTGCGATGAGTTTTTTTAACAGTACTTTATATAAGTGAAAACTGCTTTTCTATCAGAATAACTTTATTGATGTTGTCTAGTGAAACTCTTACATGAATAAATATATTGCCCGCTGAATTATTTCGAGCAATCCAAGGATCTTGATCGATTTTTAAATCGTGATAGAAGAGTACTGCTGAGCCACGATAGAAATTGAATGGATTTTCAGCCATTTTGCGAAAACGACCTCGAAAAGCATCTGAATTATTACGAATAGCATCTCCAAATGTCTTATGAAAGACATCAATAATGAATTGTTCCCGTTCATCATCCGACTGTGCTTGAAGACGATCTTGTGCTTTTTGTTCAGCATTGACCTCGAATGAAAGATTAGTTTGAGCAGCACGCAAACGTGATGATGCGGACGTGGTTCGTGATCCTGTTGAAATGTCTAAAAAATGAAACAATCAGTATGAATTTGTTATTTGAAAAAAAATGTTTCTAGAAAGTTCCTATATTTTAGAAAGATAGACATTGTGAATCTTTACATACTTGCATTTACATCTGGATTTCCATTCGACAAAGTATTATCAAAAACTGTACCTAGTGATATAATGAAATTCTTTCGTGAACTATTTTGTATCGGACAAATACGGACTGTATATTCTTTTAGAAGTTTCACAGATATCTGGAATCGATTTTCTTGCGTTTCGCTTTCTAGTTGCATTCTTCCGTAAATTTTCTCTTTGAATTATTTTCTGTATCATATCAACTTACAGGAAACATATTTTATAAAACATCCAAATGAGGATACTGATAGCCGTCAATCAACATTTGTATTTTCGAGGTAGACGATCAGATTACCAGTTTCACACGAAGAATAAAAGTGAACTGAAATGCTGTCTTAGGTGATTTTGTAACTAGGAAACTATCTAACAAATGAATGTGAAAATAATCCTTGACAACTTACAAATCTTAAAAAGAAACAGTCAACTTCCATAATCCATGATCAGTTGTTTTGGGATTCTTATGAGAAATTTTGCAAAGACGACCCATTCCACATCAAAAAGTGTAAGAAAAACTGCTGGAAACTAGATAGCTAGAAACGATAGACAACCACCTATATCGCAAGAGACATCTGAAATCTTTCATCTCTACATCAAGAGAAAGAAATTTGTGAAAAGCAGGAGTAGCCTAAGAACTTTTGGAAGGTGTAAGTAGTCATATAAAGATCATCAATATACTTTGAGCTCAAAGCAATTTTTTAAAAAATATATGAATATGTTGTTGTTCCCTTAAACAATGTTCATAAGAATTCTCAAATTGGTCAGTCAAAGGTCGATTATCGCAGACAAAAATTATTGATGAAATTAGTGTTTTTTTGTATCAATTTCAAACAAACACTTCACACAAGCGCGTTCTACATAGTTGACGCTATTCGCAGAGATCCCAATCATTGAAAAATTTCTAAGGTTATGTCGTTTCTATGAAAACTGTCGTAGAAAATGCTTGTCTAAAACGATAAATAAATTGCAATATACTATTCAAAAGACCATAACTACGAGTTATATTATTTAATGAAGAAAATTTTCCGCAAGAATGTAGTCTCTCATGAACGAAATAATTTATTTACTTGTATTTTGTGAGGCAGACGGAGGTCGTGACGGAGGCTCTGAAAAATGGTTAAAGATAGTCTAAATTGAAGTATTAAAGAAAAAAATCGATTTACTTGTAGCTTTAGAAGCTGAAGGAGGCCGTGATGATGACATTTTTTCGTTGACGCCTCTTCAATGTATAGTAATGGATTCAAAGTGAAAGAGAACAAATGCTGATCACTTTAAATCTAAAAAGATCAAAATTTCCATTATGACACGGTGTCTGTTCAGTCTTGGAAGAAAATTTCAGTACTTATAGATTAACCAAAGAAATTGATGATGAAATAATCACAAACAAGTGTTGGAAACTGATTAGAACAATCATATAGGAAACAATAATGATGTTCTATGCTAGAAAGAAAATATTCCCAACACATAACTCTTCGTTGGAAGTGTTCCATTCTTCATATCTAGGATATCTTAACTCAAGTAGAACTTGAAAAGCATTTCCAGCTATGCAATGCCATTCCATAGAGATAATCATCTTACTGTATTATTCACTTCCGGTGAATTCTTTGCAGCAAAAAACTGTTATATAATCTCGACTTATGATTTTCCTGATGACAAAGGATATGGGTGTGGGTGTGGATGTGGGCGTGGGTGGGGGTAGGGTAGGGTGTGCGGGTGTGGATGTAAAGAAAAAATCCACATCCACACCCATAAATTATCTTACCAAGACAAAATACAGTAAAATGATTAAACCTTAAGAAGGAAACCATATGAAGAATAAATCCACAAGATTTGGGCACTAAGACAATGGCAAAGCCACTGTACTCTTAGAGTATCCCGAAAGTCATCTTTTACTTGTAAAAACATATTTCCTAATTGAGTAACATTCTTATCTCAGATCGAAATTCAAAGTTGAGTTGACAATCATAAGTAAAGACTAATTGCTGAGTTAGAAGCTACTAAAGAACAAGAAAAGATCAAATACCGATGTTTGTACGGATAGAACAAAACTTTTTCTAGTGCTCGAGCTGTTTAGTTTATCTGGTTAAGGTTACAACAGCGGAAAGATGCAGAAAAATTTTTCTCAATGAACATATATCATCAAACGTAATAATCGTGTGAATACTTGAAAAGGAATTGTAATTAAAAAAGAAAGAAATATAATCTATACAACTCTTTGAAATTATGGGTTCAAACACACAACGCGTAGGAGAATTGCGAAAGGTTCATGTGATATACAGAGGTCATTCCAGACGAGGCGATTTTCAGTTCTCGAAGGTAACTGCTCACTGTTTTGACGTCGGACATTTTCCGCAATAGCAAAGTAAATGCTCGCCCGACAAGATGACAGATTTCTGTTTTTATAGTTTTTTTTTCTGCAATTCTCTCACTCGATCCTATATTATGTGATCATTTGCGATGCAACCATTGTCGCATTTCTTTTGAAAGTGTAGTCATGTAGAGGAAGAACAGTCAACACAGAAATAAATTGGTAACCAATGAAGAATAAGTGAAAAAAGACAGTTGAGTTTTACATCATTTCTTTCTACGTAACTCGATGCATGTTTGTGTAGTAAGCGTACAAGTAACTATTGGATTTTTTGCGTAAAGAAAAAAAAAGACGGAGAAAAAAAATGCAGTCGTCAATCCACTTTCTTTGGCTTCGATCCTCCATAATTCAGAGTCTCTCACCATCCATCTCGTATTGCATTGTCTACTACAAATTGTGAAAGTTTTTTTCTATTTGTACAGACCAACTCAATCAACCACTGTGTGAAAATGAGAGATTCAACTTTGTATGATTATTGCACTAACAATATGTATAGCAACGAAAGAAAAAGTAACTTTGCTTTATAAGGTTTGCTCTGACAGCAAGAGATTGATTCTTTTAATTGACGTTTTGATTCGAAATAATAACATGCATGTAGGTTCGTGTGTGACAGTAGACATGGACTGTAAGTGATGTTATTACCAGATGAATGTTTTCTTCGATTTTGGCGCTGATATATGTAACTCACATATCTTCTTTAGTTTCATTATATTAATGACAAAAAGACGTAATGTTTAAATTCTCTAAAAGACGATGGATCTTTTTTAGTGATCATCGATTGTCAGTAAATGCTGTCTTCAGTGTGGGTGGGTTGGGGATGTAAATAGAAGACCGAGATCGAGATCCACACCCACACCACACTCAACCTTTCAATGTAATTTTTATTGTACGACTAAAAGCAAACATGAGATAATACTTACTAGTCTCGAAAAAATGCATTCATGTGAAGATTTTTGCTGCGAGGTATTTCTAAGTGTAAAAGTTGGTTGAAGGTAAAACTTTTTATGGCTAGCTCGTGAAAAAAACCAGCCATTACTGAAGAAATAGTCTAGATGAAAGCATAACTTAATAGTTGCAATCAGCTAATATTAAATTAATTTATGACTAAATGCCAAAATTCTCCAGTCTATTGTTAAATGAATCGACTTTTCTTTTTGAACGAGATTTTTTCATAAAGGGTTGAAAAATTTAATTGTTTTTACACATTCTGACAATTTTTGTATTCACGATTCTATTTAACTTAAACAAAAAGCAACTTCTGAATGTCTTCTAGAGAGTTGAATCGATAATCTATTGAAAATCAATTCTGATAATGTATTCTCCTTGGCTACGTAGTTGATGATTTTATGTTTGCTACATTCTCAATATGTAATTTTGTGCGACTGTCACATTGCTGAAATCCAAGGGGAAAAAAGCGTGAGTTAAATCAGCTGAAACTCATTTGAAATCACAAAAATCAAGTAAACTCATTTTAAATCACGAAAATCATTTTAACTCATTTTAAATCACGAAACTCACATTAACTCATTTTAAATCACAAAAATCACTTTAAGTCAATTGTAACTCACTATAAATCGGAAAATAGCGAGCCGTAAGTTTATGATTTAAAATGAGTTTCTGTGAGTTTTGTGATTTAAAATGAATTTATGTGAGTTTTATGATTTAAAATGAGTTTACTTGAGTTTTATGATTTACAATGAGTTTATCTGAGTTTTATGATTGAAAATGAGTTTATCTGAGTTATATGATTTACAATGAGTTTATGTGAGTTTTCTGAGTTAAAGTGAGTTTAAAGCTGATTTAAATCGACTTTAAACTCATTTTAACTCACAAAAACTCATTTTAACTCAGAAAACTCACATAAACTCATTTTATATCATATAACTCAGATAAACTCATTTTCAATCATAAAACTCAAGTAAACTCATTTTAAATCACAAAACTCACATAAACTCATTTTAAATCACAAACTCACAATTTGCTTTTTTCCCCTTGCTGAAATCAGTGGGATAGCAAGTAAAAATCAGAAGACATTTATACTTACTTTATAATGATGACTGCTGGTGTTCTTCTACGCAATGAATGTGTCGTCAACGTAACGTGCCGAGTAATTTATTCGTTTGTGTTCTTGCATCACATGTCTGCAGTTCTATGCGAGCATGTGAATGCTTCCATGTGACAACACTGTTACGATATCTGATATCAGTCTGCCGACGTATGAGCTTAATAGATCTACGAAATCTTAAGAAAATGCGATAATAAACAGGTATGAACTAGTAGCATCGTATAACGTTGCCGTTCCCAGTGAGGAGACGACGGTACTCAAAACCTTAGGATCTCAGATTTTACGATCTTACTGTTTGCCAATTGTATTCCAAATAATTTAGAATTCATATCCTTTCCATTTTTATTGTTACTCATGTAATTGCATGATCGAATGCATACAAAGAATCTATCCAAATAGAGAACAGTTACAAAGCAACTCACGATACAAAAAAAAAACTTTCATTTTTCTTTTTGAAAGTAAGCACTAGTCGGTGTCGATGGGATGGTTGTGGTTGTGGCTGTGGCTGTCGGTTGTGGTTGTGGTTGTTTTTCTTTTTTTTTTCTATACCCACACCCACAGCTTTCACATAGCTAATTCTTTTCTAGTTGACTTTGTGCCTCTGAGCTGATGTGAATCAGAAATAGACGCTCTATCACGTTCCTTCACATTAATATCCACACTCTCATTAGTCATGAGACTACTAGATTTTCAATCACAATGACTGCAGAATTCTTTATAAATATTAAAAAACCGTTAAAAATATTTACCGATGCCACATTACGGGGTGATTATACAAAATCAAGCTGCAGTTGCTGCGCGACTGCTACAAAGAGTATCTTTGGAATGTAGTGACACATTGGAAAATATCAAAGAAAGAAGGAAGAAAATTAAGTGAACAAGAGGAAAAAACAACACAGAAAATTTCAACCTCTATTAAATATTCATCAGGGGAAAGCAATCAGAATGCATTGTTACTGCGTCACATCATCAGAAACGGAAAGGAAAACGTTGTTACCGGAACGAGAAGTGAAAATCGGTAATAATTGTTTCCTAGGAACACTGGAAATGTTCGCTCATGACTATTTCTTTTCTTTTCTTCACAATCGCGCAAGAAAAACACATTTTATTGGTTTTTTATTTGCTCTATACGTCAAAAATTAGAAATGAATGTTACTCATTATAAAAATATGTTGATCAATGTTCTACCAAATAAAGCAAATATGAATAAGTTTTAAAAAATTGGTTGATAAGTCTTTTATTGTCTGGATGGAAGAAAAAAAATCATTTCAACCGTATATTAATAGCAAAACAAAATTGTTATTGTTTGTACAAATATTTCAGACTGTAGTCTGATAAAGTCACTTTTTTTGAGGACTAACAGTAACAAATCAAACAGGGTATAAAACTTTCAAAAAAGTTGATATTTTAAGTAATTTTTGTATGATACTTGAGTTGTTACCGCCAGTCTTTAAGGCAATAATCGGACATGCTCTCTCAAAAAAAATACAATAAAATTTTGAGACTCAAAGTCCAAACAAAACTTAGTGCCATAGTTTCTCGACTATAGTTCGAATATATTCTGAAAACTTCATGCAATTTGAATGTTCGTGAGGCAAGATCAATTATTGAGGGGGGGGAAGTTGAAAAGTATTGAAAAGGAATTAATTATTATGAAATATTTTTAGTATTTTTAATTCGTTGATAATAATTAATGAAAATGCATGTTCAAGTAAAATGGTAGCGTCAACATTATTTTCTAGGCAACATAAATTATTAACTAAAAAGGAA